CCAAGGCCTTTGCTTGTAGATAATAACATTGGGGCAATTATCCATGTTCATCTCAAGAAGCTGTCTTGGGATTGCTTTCCCAAAGCCCCTCTCAAACTGATAAATAGGCTTGAGGTGGTCCTGGTTCAGCCTCTTCCTTCATGAACTTGGGATCTAAGCATCAGTCCTCAGGTCCCCCCACCCTCATCAGATCCCCTAGTCCTCAGATCTCCCACCCAGAGCCCTTAAATTCCTTCTCCTTTTTTGCAGGGACACAGCATCCAGGCACCAATTTACCTACTTCCCACCTTTATCCTGTTCCTGCCACAGGTCCCAAAACCCTATTCAGAAGATGATGTCTTAGGAACCTTGCTCCTTGGAAACTCTATGGAGTAGTTCTACGCGTCCTAAAGGGTCGCCATGAGTTGAAATTGGCAATGAGTTATTATGTTATGTCCTGGCTGAGTTTTAATCGAATGGAGAAGAGTGGAGACTGCAGAACCAGTGAACTCTGAGCAGCACAGAGCAGCCAGGTAAGATCTGGGGTCTCAGGCTCACTCGCTCTTTCTTTTCTCCCTTTCTTCTCTTCTCTCTTCTCAATTATCTCTCTGTCACAAACATACTCACATACTTTGGAAAGTCTTCATACAATCTAACCCCTTAGTGTTTATAGGTAATGTAACAATTCCTCCTATCTTTTTAGTAGTCTACACTTTTCAAAGTGCTTTCACACACTCCTCTAGATCTGGGGGAAAAATAGCAAGCTTCTCTTTGAGTGACACACTTGCTTCAGGAGTTGAGCACTTGATTAGGGGGCAGGAGGGAAGCCTGAGGTCCTCTTGGCTTGCCTCTCCTGGTATGGAACCACTGCCTCACAAGCTAGGACAAGGACGATTGGGACTCCAATATTGTCAGCACTCAACACCAAGGTACAGCTTCTGTTCCACGTGTGGGCGCTGGACAGAAGAAGGGAATTCCACCTCTTGACTGCACTTTTCCAGAATTTAACCTCTCAGGTAGCTGGGGAAAGGATGAGAAATTTTGAAGTTTTGCTCCGCCCTGAAGAAAGCCCTCTCCACCTGGGAGCTAGGAGAGAGGGAGTCCTGTGTTCCTCGCTGCAGCAGAACTGGGATGGGGGAGGGAGGGAGCCATCTTGATTCACATGCCACAGACTGTCACCTTTCTTACCAAATTTTCACGGATTTTTTTTTTTTAATAGATGTTCTTCATTTGCTGTTTGCCTTTAGGACCACTTCCAGAGGCTTTAAATGTTTTGTTTTTTTTTTAAATAATTTTTATCAGTTTTACTGGGTAGCGCATCAGTGGGCTTCTAATGTTGTCGCACTGGAAGTTGATCACCTACTCCATTATATTTTAAAATTTTGTGATCTTATTTTCACCCAAAGCAAGCTTTCTTGAAAGTGGACCAGTATCTTTTAATAGATACAATACACCCATGACATTAAGATCATGAATAAAATTTTTAAGAGAATCATTTGCCGATTATTTGGAGAGATGCCTTTCTTTTAGAATATGGAGTCTGTTCAAATGACTGGCATTTTAAGCTGTCTATTTTTAAAGAGACAGGTTGGAATTTGTTATGAGTTGCTTTAGAAGGGACAGAAAAGAGTTTCCTGAAATGAAATGATAATTATATATCCCATATTTTTTTTAAAAAAACCTATTGCCGTCGATTCTGACTCATAGCAACCCTATAGGACAGAGTAAAACCACCCCACAGGGTTTCCAAAGAGCAGCTGTTGGATTCAAACTGCAGATCTTTTGGTTAGCAGCCAAGTTCTTAACCGCTGAGCCACCAGAGCTCCATATCACATATATTATACTATAAATTCCAAGAATATAAGAGAAATAAAGTAATGAGAGAATTAAAGAAAATTCTCCCAAAATGAGTGGGGATATAATTTTTAGATTGACAAAGACACTCTAAAGCAGGTAAATTAATAAAAAGAAAAACCACTGAATCAAGCTTGGTAAATTTTTAAATTTAAAGATTAAAGAAAAATAATACAGGCAGAAATATCAGGTTACTCACCAAGAAAAAAAAAAAAAAAACAAGCAATAAGTGACATTATTGACTTGGATAAGTTCCCCCAGCAAATCGTTGAGTGAATAAAAATGAGTGAATGAAAAAAAACAAAAGTATACTAATCAAAACGTTAACAGTGGTTGCCCTAGCATATTTGGAATACTTTTTACTTTCTTTAACTTACATTTTTCTGTATTTCTTGGAATTATTTACAACGGAAAATTTTGTTTACAACCAATAGATTGCAATATAGTAAGAAGCTATTCTTATTTGGAAAAAAATCCATGGAACATCTTTAAATTTTTATATATTAGTCTGTTAAATAAATTTCAACAAATTCCAAATAGTAGAAATTGATGATAAGTCAATACAAGTTTAAAATGGAAGCTAATGCAAGCCAAATCACACCAAAACGTTGATAAGGATGGACGTGCAAACAAAAACACCTGTACTTAAAAATGAGTAGAACAATCTAATTTGTCGATATAGCACGAAAACCTAAATAAAGCATTGTTGTTGTTGTTAGGTGCTGTCAAGTGAGTTCCAACTCATAGCGACCCTATAGGACAGCGTAGAACTGCCCTGTAGGGTTTCCAAAGAACAGCTGGTGGATTTGAACTGCTAACCTTTTGGTTAGCCGCCAAGCTCTTAACAACTATGCCACCAGGGCTCCAAATAAAGCATTAGCAAATCAATTTCAGTAATTTACATAAGGAATGCAAGTATAGTTTAATATTAGGAAAGTTATTAAATAATATATCCTGATAGGCACTGAAAAAATATTTGATTAAAAATGCAACAGTCATACTTGATTTTTAAAATACTATAGGTAAAATAGGAGGTCTGGTGTCGCAGGGCTTAAGTGCTCGGCTGCTAACCCAGAGGTCACCATTTCAAACCCACCAGCCACTCTGTGAAAGAAAGATGTGGCACTCTGCTTCCATAAAGATTACAGCCTAGGAAACCCTATGGGGCAGTTCTACTCTGTTCTATAGAGTTGCTAGGAGTTGGAATCAACTCCATGGCAATGGGTTATAGGTAAAATATAAAGGGAAAGATAGTTCTAAATATACGCATCCATTTCTGCTTAAAGCTCTTTATGGCTCTTTACTGCACTAAGAATAAAATTTTAAAACCTTAACAAAGCTCTGAATGATTTGTCCTCTGCCAGAAGCACAGCCCCGTATTTCACCAGTCTCCGCTTCTCTCCAACCAGGTTGTTTTGGTTGTGTGCCTTTGAGTTGATTCTGACTCATAGAGACCTGTAGGACAGAGTAGAACTGCTGTATAGGGTTTCCTAGGCTGAAATCTTCATGGGAGCAGATCACCAGATCTTGTCTCCCGTGGAGTAGCTGGTAGGTTCGAACTGCTGACCTTTTGGTTAGCAGCTGATCACTTTAGCCACCAGGGACCTCCACTCTAGCCATACTCACCCATATTTAGCTCCTTAAGCACTACAAGATCTTTCCCACCTCAGGACCTTTGCACACATAGCCATCTGTGATACTCCTTGCCCAGCACTTATCAACACTGGCTTTTTGGTCCTTCATGTCTCAGTTAAAAAGACACCAGAATGTGAACAGTGGTTACCTATCTCTACATGACGAAATTCAGTATAATTTATTTTTATTTCTTCCTTTATATATTTTGGATTTTTAAATTTTTATTGCATATACATCAGGTTTTCAAAAGGAAAAAGGACATGATAAGCTGTTTTAATCTTTAGGATATTTGAAATGTGTTTAGTAAGATATGGAATATTGCCAAATTTCCTAACTTCTTCCCTAAATAATTAGACAGCTCTCCCAATGTCATTTATTGAATAATGCAACATTTACTGCTGATTTAAAGTGCTTCTAGAACAGACCACTAAATCCCACATGTGCTTGGCTCTGTTTCTGAAGTTTCTATCCACTGCTGTTGATCGTCCATTCTAGCACTGGTACCACGCTGTCTTAAAGTCCTTGATAATCGGCAGAGCAAATGTCCCCTTATTATTCTCTTTTTCAACATTTTCTTGGATTATTTTTAGATGAAATTTAGATTACTTTCGTGTTGTTTCTCAAAAAACCTGTTAGTATTTTTACTTTGAATAGGTTAAATTCTAGATTCATTCAAGAACATGCACCTTTGCAGTATTTTACCTTTCTATCTGGAATCCTGGTATGTCTATCCATATGTTAAATTTTTATTTTATGTCCCTTCGGAGAATTGAAGGTCCTACCTAATACTTATTAACATCTTAATGCATAGATTGGTTTGTTGATAATATGGATGGGATTGTTTCCCATTATATGTTAACCTGATTATTATTTACATATCATAGTAATAGGTAATATTGAGTTCTCACTGCATGCCAGCTCTTTGTGTTAAGCACTTTATTACTTAATTTTATCCTCACCCCAACCCATTTTCACATGAAGAAACTGAGTCTCAAAGGGCTCAGGTAACCTGCCTAAGGTTTCACAACTCGTGAGTGGCAGAGCTCAGACTTAGATTCAAGCATTTTGACAGCACAGGCTTAATCATTGCATTACATGTCTCACTGGTAATGCTTTTAGTTTATCTATTTTTGTTATTGGTCACTTTACTGAATTCCCTTTTTATTTCTAATAGTGTTTCAATTGCTTGTCTTAGGTTTTCTAGTTAGATCATCATATCAGCAAATAATAATCTTTCCTTCTCTTTTCCTGTATGTTTACTTCCCTTCTTTGTCCAATTGTACAATATACATTTCTTAGAATGCTTATACCAATTTTAAATATCATTTTAAAACCTAGACAATATTGTAATATGTAAAGCCAATCTGTAATCTTTAAACACTTCCACAAGTATGGTAAAATAGTAGGATTTGAAATAAAACATAAGTATTATTTCTGTAATAATGTGTATGGCACATTAAAAGTTGCCGGAACATTTAAATTGCATAAAGAATTCCTGTGTTATGTTTTTGGTTCTGTTAATACTTTGTTGCTTATTTGAAAAATATATAAAGTCTAGTTTAAGATATTTTTAATATGAAGAAAAACTTGACTTGGTTTATCTGAATGTCCTTATTCAATTGAGGGCACTTGGTAAACATTTGCTGGTGCTAATGTTGCAGACTGTTGGGGAAATGGATGGAGATAACCAGACTGGGGCCTTTGAGTTCCTGCTTGTTGGGCTCTTGGAGAAGCCCGAGCAGCAGCAAATCCTGTTTTGGATGTTCCTGTCCATGTACCTGGTCACAGTGGTGGGAAATGTGCTCATCATCCTGGCCATCGGCTCTGACTCCCGCCTGCACACTCCCATGTACTTTTTCCTGGTCAACCTCTCCTTCACGGACCTCTTCTTTGTCACCAACACAATCCCCAAGATGCTGGTCAACCTTCAGTCTCAGAACAAAGCCATCTCCTACACGGGGTGCCTGACACAGCTCTACTTCTTGGTCTCCTTAGTGGCCCTGGACAACCTCATCCTGGCTGCAATGGCCTATGACCGCTATGTGGCCATCTGCCGCCCCCTCCGCTACACCACAGCCATGAGCCCTGGCCTTTGTATCCTTCTCCTGGCCTTGTGTTGGGTCTTCTCTGTCCTCTATGGCCTCATCCACACCCTCCTCCTGACCAGAGTGACCTTCTGTGCGTCCCGGAAGATCCACCACATCTTCTGTGAGATGTACATCCTGCTGAGGCTTGCGTGTTCCAGCATCCAGGTCAATCATACAGTGCTGATTGCCACTGGCTGCTTCATCTTCCTCATCCCCTTTGGATTCATGATTGTGTCTTATACCTGGATTGTCAGAACCATCCTCCGAATACCCTCAGCCTCTAGGAAATACAAAGCCTTCTCCACTTGTGCTTCCCATCTGGCTGTGGTCTCGCTTTTCTATGGGACACTTTGTATGGTATATCTGCAGCCCCTCCACACCTACTCCATGAAGGACTTGGTGGCCACAGTGATGTATGCCGTGGTGACACCCATGATGAACCCTTTCATCTACAGCCTGAGGAACAAGGACATGCATGGGGCTCTAGGAAAACTCTTCCTTGGGAAAGCTTTTCAGAAGTTGACATAAGAGTAATTTTGGAAAGAGGACATTGAAATGGAGACCAGGAATTCCCACCACCATGTGCAAAGCATTAGCTTGTGGAGTTCACAGGAGTGATTAAGACATAGATCTGGCTCAGAATGAGTTTATAGATCTGTGGTGAAGAAAAGACATGTACACATAGCCTAATGTCCCCTGGACCTCACCTGCCCTGGCAATAGATAATAATCAACTCGACTGCAAAGAGTTTTAATACTTTTACCAGAATTCCACAGGATCAAATCTTTCAACTTGCTTGACCATAGGACCACCTTATCAAAATACACCCAGTTATTATGGCAATGAATATTGGTGATGGTGGTACAGTATGATTGGTGTAATTGGTTTCATTGAATTGTACAAGTGAAAAATGTTGAATTGGCTAATGTTGTGTTACCTATATTTTTACAACAATTAAAAGAGAGATAAAAAATATACGCATTTATGTTTTGGGAAAGGTTCCTGGGCAGCACCTAACAACAACAACTGTAGGTGCCCTGAAGGAAGATGCTCCTTTCCTGATGCTGTGCCAGGCTCAACTCTCACTGCTTCATGCTGACCCACTGTCCCTCTGGACATAGCCCCTGTGGTTCAGGAAGAAATTGCAAGAATGTTCCTCTCCTTTCTCTCTGGGTTGATTTTTATCCTTTGAGTCCAAAGCAATATTGCCTGTGCCTTTCTCCTGCATTCCGTCTCTCAGTAACAAGTCAGACCTTGTCCTCAGAAGTCCATTCTATGCTTTATTTCTGTGGCTCCTTGTTGTCATCTCTTCTTCATACAACAACTCCATTCTTCATTCAAAACAAAACTCTTGAGCTTGTCAATACATGCTGATGAACAGGAGTGGTGTTGGAGGCAGTAGAGAGGGAGGAGGGAATTGTGAGACCCAATATCTACTTAGGTTCAGCCAGCCTTGTATAAATGAGTGGATAGAAGGTGGTGTGTAATAGCTGATAAGCAGGTTAGTCACTGGGACTGTGGCAGTTTGAAGGAGGGAGCAATCATTTTTAGATGAATCAACAGAACCAGTACTTGACCTTGACTTTGAAGGACAAGTAAAGTTGAATTGATTTCATGTTCATTCAGTCATTAATTAATTAATTATTAATTCATTCAACTGATAATGACCGAATGCCTATTAGGGTCCTCAAACTAGATTATAAACATGAATAATGAGCTCACAGTCTACTGGGGGAAGTAGTAAATGATTACAGTAAATTAAATGGACCTAACTAATCAGGTAAAAGGCAATGTTTAACAGGTTTATTAAACAGTAAAATACAGATATACGTTATTTAACAGAGGCACACTGAAAGCATAAGAATACATAAAAGTTGAAAGTAAAAGAATAGAAACAGGCATACTGGGAAAATACTAATCAAAAAAAGGTGAATATAACTATATTAACATCGCATAAAAGAAACTTAACTGCAAAAAGCATTATTAAGAACTGTGGGTGTTTCCGAATAGACATATGCGCACCTATATTCATTGCAGCACTGTTCACAATAGCAAAAAGATGGAAACAACCTAGATGCCCATCAACAGATGAATGGATAAACAAACTATGGTACATACAC